TTCCTCTCCGGTTTGGGCTACGCTTCCACGCTAACTGCTTTGGGTTCAACCGTCCCGTCCCAGGCCAAGCCAGCACAAGCCGTGCAGCGGGAAAGGGGCTGCTCCAACAGCGGGCTGCTCTACGACATCTAATAAACGTGCTGTTGGGTGGGACCAGCCTCTTCTCACCTCCTACAACCACGTCTGGCTTGAGCTCAGACGTAAGCAGACACACAATGCGGCCTGCGGCCACCGCCAGCCTCCAGAGCGATGTCCCAAAACTGGAGAGGAGACCCTGGAGAGAGGTGGGGGAAGCAGCCCCGTCATTTCGGGGTACGCTCAAGCCCTCCGAGGGTTCAATTCTGCCCAATAAGCCCCTGCTTAAGGCGAGAGGCTTAATTCACAACCGCCACAGCTCTACACAGATCATTCATCGTTTAGCAAATGATAACTCATCCCCGTCCCCCTCCAAACCCCACCCAGCTCCACACAGGTCCCCTCTGTCACTCTGCAGGAATTAACACGCCCACGGCACAGAGCCAGCTAATAATACAGAAATTTTCTTTTTTTTTTTACTATTAACGCGGAATGTTCTGCTGGTCCTTCTTGCAGAGATCAGCCCCACGTCCCAGCTCAGCCGGGCTGCCAGCCACCTTTTGACAGAGACATGTAAGACCAGCCAGTCAGTTTGGTTTTGGTTTTTGGTTGGGGTTTTTTTTTTTTCCAAAAGAGAAAATTTGCCTCAAAACCTGCCAGAGGGATCTGTAGTGCATGGTCCAAAGGTTTCAAGCTCACAGTCTGAGAATCCCTCTGGTTTCTTGTGCCTTCTTTTAAAAAAGAGGAGACAAAAAAACATAAAAGCAAATGGGGACTGAGCCTGCCCTAGTTTAAAAAAGAGACAAGAATTTTCATGCGTGTTTTAAAAAGAGAAAGGGCAGAGTCTGAGTAACAACAGCAGAGAGAAGGCAGCCAGGCCTACGGGGGAAACTGCTGCACACTCCCAGTTCTACTTCAGAAAGAAGGTGGTGGAAGAGGAACGCACACACCCCTGCACACGCCTGTGCACGCTCACCCCCCCCACAGACACGGGGCGTCTCATTATGCATCGAGGAAAGAAAAATTATCTTCCTCTTGGGGTTTGCGGATCCAGCTGCCGTAGCCCATCTCTTCCAGCGTGCTGAAGAAGCGCTGCTTGGCTTCCTGGTACGCCGTGGCTGCCTCCTTCGCATCCGAGTACACCGAGAGGTTCTGCAGGTCTCTGCAGTTGTTCTTGGCGCACAACTGCTGGAACAGGGCGAAGATTTTCCTCTTGGACACACGAGACACCTCCAGCTTCGGTCTGAGAAGGGAGACAAAGGCAGCGATGAAGGACATGACACCCAGAAGACCAAAGAGGAGCAGGGGGCAGGGGGAAAAACCCAGGGTGGGATGCCTGCGAGATCTCCTGGTTGAGCGGGGCTCTGGTGTAGGGTCCGGGCTGGGCAATGTTTTGTTTTGCTTCAAGAGCGCTTGCTTACATCAGTTTGAAATTCTTCTCTCCGACACTCCTCCCCACGTTTAAGGTGCTGTAACAGCGCAGAGTGTACTCACAACTTCAGAGCTGCCCCCCTTCCCAAAGAGAAAAGCAGTGTCAGGAAAGGCTCTTCTTACCCATCTACTTTCCCTTTTGTGCCATCCAAGACTTCAACTTCGCTTTCATCAGCAAGACACCAATTCACTGAAGACTCCTTCGTCTTGCCCGTCTGCCTTGCAGAGTCGTATACGCTGACTCGCCCAACCTGCGGGAGAGGTAAGAGGGTTTCTTAACACCGGTCCTGCCGCGTGAGCTTGCTGGTAAGGGGAACCTCTTGCCTCTTCCATCCCCTGCAGGGAGGGGTTCAGCTCATCCCAAACTCCCGAGAGCAGCAAACACGAGGTTCTTCCTAAGCTGAAGGCTACGGAAGAGACCTCGGTCTCCTTTTTCCCAGATCAAGTCATCCCAGACGCCGTGGGATGACACAAAGGTGGCAGGTTTCTGGCCATTAACCTCCTGACCCTGGCCAGAGAGCTTCTGCCAGGTGACCACCGCGCAGAGCGAGGTCCGAAACCCGAGGGCAGAGGTGGAAGGGGAGACAAAAAGATGAAGAGGGGCCAAGCCCACGTTACCTCGGGATGGTTAACGCGATACGGAGCCCGGAGCTTTTCCTGCAGCGCGTTCCCATCTCTCGCAACGCGGCAGCAGATTGCACGTGTTAAATGACCCTGACTGTACAAGTAACCTGCGAAGACAGACGCAAAGGCATTAGGAAACAGGAACGGCGCAGGTGATGGACAGGCCTAACCCCGAAAACCACGGCGCTTCTCCTAAGCTCCAGAAAGCTCACGGCCATGCGGATCTGCAACAGCTACGGGTACCCTAGATGTGTAAGATGAAGGTTTATAGACCGCAACGCTTCTCGCTGAAGACACAAACAGGCAATTTTTGTCTCACCCTCCTAGATCATGTGTGCCTCCTCCTAAAAATCAAGAACCTTGGAGAAAACCCACTCCACCCACAGCATAAAATCCACAAACTCCCTTTTCACTTCCAAACAGCACAGCTCTGCCAAGAACGACAGTTCAGTCTGTTACTCCTCCAGCCTCCACAAACGAGGTTTTCCATCACTCATGGGAGGGATGTTACTTGTCACTGCAGCCCGGTTCTAAGGACCGGGGCGGCACGTCCGTCCCAACCCAGAAAGTACGGCAGGTCTCATACCAAGTGTAACAGAGCTGAGATAAACCGGCTCGATGAAGTGTGACAACAATGCCCCTTGCAAGCCAAGTATATTCCAGCGTAAGATTTTGTCGCTGCAGGACATGGTTCGCAAACGCTCCCCATGCTGGATCCCATCCCACGTGGGCACAATGTCACTCGACTCCACAGGAATGGTACCCTCCCCTGCACGAGAGAAGAAGAAAAGCTTTTCTGTAAAGAGTCAGAATACTCAATAAATATCTGGAAAGTATCTTCTGTGCACAGGCGTGGAGCGACCTGGAGTCAGTCTGTCTCCAGGTTTGGGGAACATTTTAGTATCACACGAGAAAGGGAACTCAGTACTGATTACAGACGAGTTGTTTTTCACACTGCTGAAGCAGAAGGAAATAGCGCTTGAAAGGGAGGTCAGAGACATAGAGCTTTGCAGCAAACTTCAGCTGTGCGCTTCCTAGTGTGGCAGTCCAACAGGCAGGGAGGGGAAGGAGAAGGGACTCCCTCCAATGCCACCCCCACCCCTTTTACCCACCCCCTTTGGTTCCCAAATGCTTCAAATCCCACAACAGCACCACACAGGGAGGGGTACGGAAACTCTGGAGCTCCAGAAAGGCTCAGAGGGCTGGGGCCACCCCACCATGCAGGGAGCGAACGCACTCACCGTTCTCCACCTTGGTCCGCAGTTTGCCTTGTTTGGGGTTCTCAAAGAGAGGTTGATGCTGGGTTTGCCCCACCACGCTCGCCTGGTCACTGCAGGATTTATCAAAGAGCGCCCCGTCTCCACAAGGTGCTGTGCTAGAAAACAAGCGCTCCCCAGGTTAGCACTGACTCTGAGAAAACAGCCAGGGCCAGGGGTGCCATAGCGCGGCTGACACCGGTCGCTCCCTGCACGACCCCACACAAACCTGACGTAGAGGTGGAAGGTAACATCGCTCTTTATTTTGAGTTTCTTCCCTCCTGCTGGCTCAAAAATGCTCTCTTCTGCAGAAGAAGGATTAGACGGGTCATACTTCATCAACTCACTATAAAGAAACCTGAAAATAACAACATCGCATCAAAAGGCCGCTTTGCTCCTCAGACAAGGAGCACGTCGATCCAACCACTGCCCACGCCCAGGACAGACAGGGTCCTGAGTTCTGCCTCTGTCACACCGAGTCACCGGCTCCCAGTCCTGCCGCACGGGAGAGCGAAGACCAGGAGCTGCGGCTGACAATACCTGGAAGCCAACACATAGCGTTCGACGCTACAGAAAAGGCACAAAATAAAGCAGATTTCCTACCATGCAGAGGACGCGCAACAGAAAATAAGTATTCTGTCAGGTGAGAAGCGTTGGCAGGAGAGAGAAAGGAGCTTGGCTGGCTGCTGCCTGCGTGCATCTGATCCGAGCGTGAAGAAGACTTCAAGGTTGTTAACCTAGCACCTTTAGTCAGCACCAAGTTTGCATAAGAGTAAAGAGCCCCATGGGCAGCCGAACACAAGCGATATTATTAGCGCAACCCCACGATCTGTTTACAATGACTGGGTCTTTTATGGCTGCTTCTGTCCGAGGACAGGGAAAAACCTTGAGGTGTCCAACGTAGCATCAAGGACTAAAGAAAAACTGCAGCTTCAGAGAGACTCCTCAAGCAGAGCCTGTGCAGGGACTTATTTTGCAAGGAGAGGTGGAGCTCACTCACTGTTCTCATCCCCAACAGGCTCTGCTGTGCCAGAGCGGCCCAGCAGCCATGACCGTGAAGATTAACAGCTGAGAGAGACGGCAAGCAAGAGTGCAATCCTCCGACTCTACAGCTTGCCGGGGACCAGCCCTCCGCACCTTGCGGCGCTGAGGAACACACAGAGCATAGCGGCAGCAGGGAAAGGCTTTAAGCAAGCAGCTGACTTTGCTGTTCGTAACTGGAAAGGCAGACATTAACAAGTCTAGTCCAACTGCATCTCACTTTAGCTTTAAAAAAAAAAAAAAAGGTACCACACTGAATGTTTGTAAAGAGAAGAGAACAATTGTGCAGTTTAGTTGGGTAAACCCTGTCCAACTGATGAAAAAGGATTTCTGACTTATCAAGGCAAACACATTTGATATGTTTTCCTAAAGCCTCCTACACTAAGATCCAGAAAGGCCAAGGAGACCTAGCCTACAGATTCCTCAGCACCTCGGCTCAGAGCAGTGCTCGGACTGAAACAGTGCCTTGCGTGCCGGCCAAGCAGCCTCTGCAGGATGCTTTAAATCCATCAGATGTGGCCCTTGGGCTCTTGGCAAGTTTCCAGTTCGGTACTAATTTGGGCACCATTCAGGCATGGCCCTTTCTTATCAGAAACAACTTCCCTCTATTTAGCAACACATGGGTAAACAGCAGGGTTAGAGGATCACAGCCTCTCTCAACACAGCGAGGAACCGTCACAGCTACGTCCCTCTAGAACAAGTCAGCACCTCTTGGCAGGCCCCTCTCCTCCAGGTTTCCTCTTGTCTCACCTCACAAAGCCTCTTCGAGAAATGATTTCTGCATGGGAGTCATTCACTGTCTCCCCCTTCAAGCTCAGCTCTTCCCCTTTCACGCAACGGTTACCTGAAATAAATAAAAAGGCGAGTGTCAAAGTCAACACACAGCTTCACAGAAAGAGGGAAGGTTTCATCGTGCTTCAAGTTTTACTTCTTTGGGCTCCTGAGCAGCAGCACCACCCTGACTATTAAATCATTATCCTGATCCAAACACTTAGGAAAATAAAGGGGGACACACTACCTTAGGGACAGCAGAGACTTTGATTGCCACAGGTTTAGGGTCAGTGTCCCTTCCCGAGCGCTTTACAGCCCCCACTCTGGGTGGAAGCGTGGCAGCTAACTGGAAGGGATCTAAGGTACAGGCAGCTGAGAGAAGCTGCGGGATCTTCTGCTGTACAACGCAAAGAATCCATGCTCCGATGCACAGACTAGCGCGTAGCAACGCAAGCAAAGATTAAGAGCAATATAGCTGCAGGCACATTCGCTTTGTTCTCTCTCTATAACCAGATCACTTGTGACACCACGCGAGCCCTGAGAACGTTTCTTGCCCTCTCTGAAGAAGCCTACAGCAAGAGCCATTCCCTAGATTTCTCGCGGGGAAGCGAGAGTTCCGCTTACGCTGGAAGAAGCTGTTCGTACCCGTTCCGACGCTGACCACCACTCCCAGATCCTTGTTTCCTTTCCGCATGATGATGGCAGCCAGGATCTTCCGCCCAAGCAGACTGTGCTGGATGCGAGCGGTGAGGGTGTTGAAGCGCTGGTGGCTCAGCATAGCCATCTGATCGTGTAGCGTACTGCCACTCACGGGGAGCTGGAACAGGGACACGGGACCAGGAGTGCTAAGAGATCATGGGCACAGAACAAAACGGCTCGAGAAGTAGCTGACCTGAAGCACAGCTATCCGAGCAGAAGGCAGGGACACAGAAAACACGAGCGACAGGCACCACGATTTTGGGTGGAGCGCGTGAAGAGTATCGTGTCAAGGGGTGGGTGAAGTTCTTTTCGGTATTTCTGGGAAAACCCTGTCCAGCGCTTTGAGTTCTGCTTTGAGCACGTCATTAAGAGACAGCAGCACGCCGTCTTCCTGGCAGCATGTGAAATGGGCTGAGGAATGAGACTGCCGGGGGAAACCCCCATCGCAAAGGAACAAAACCCATCTTGCCTGTTCCCAGAGATTCAGCCAAGGAAATCTGTTACTGGCTTTGGAGGAATTCCTTCTCCGGCTGCCTGTGAGGAGACTGCACAGTCACTCCCACTGCAGACGGGCATTTGCCTCCTCTAGCACTGCTGACTGACAAATCCTCCCTGATGGCTTTTCTATTTAGAGCCACAGCTGCTGCGCTCAACTGCACAGCCTGGAACACGGCTTTTAAGAGATCACAAAACTCTTAAGTGTGATTTAAAGCAGCAGAGGTTGGGGACAGCCATCCTGACACAACCACAGCTTTGCTCTTAGCTGATGCGTGAGTTTTTTTGAGCTGGCACACAATTTTTAATGCAGCATGAAGGAAATTGGAAGGAGGGGAAAAAAAAATCACAGAATTAAAACTAAGCATGTTCCTGCTCCACCACAGGAACACATTTCAGTAGCTTGTGGAAGAATTTTATAATAATTTAGCCCTAAAGCAGACGCCAGCAGGAGGGAAGAGTACATCTGTGCCCTGAGGAAACATCTAACCCACTTCAGGAAAACGTCAGCTTATTTACACCTTCAGAGAACAAAGATCTCACAGTTGATCTCAAAGGCATTTTTCTGCTGGACTGAGTGGAAGAGGACAGGCAGTCCCAGCTGCGGAGGAAGACGATTTACCTCAGTGATGTTGGTCCCCTCCACGCGCTCAATCTTCTCTGTTTCGCCAATCAGGACTCTGAGTGCTGCATCAGCTGCCTCCTGCTTGCCCTGCTTTTTATTATGTGCAGTTACAGCTGGGAACCAGCGGCCTCCAACCTTTGCCTGATAGACAAACCTGTAACGACAGCAGCACACCTCTGAGAAACCAAGAAACCTAGGGATTTCAGTCTGGTTTTTAAATTCTTTCAGAGGAGAGAGGAGAGGAGCTTATTGTCATCTGGACTCAGGTTTGGCAGAGGCAGCAGTTCGGCCTGTTGCCATCTTGAACCGCATCAGGAATTTTGCGTTCTCTGCACTTTCTCCTGGATAACAACAGTCCAAAATTTCCTCCTGGACAGATGCAGCTACTTACTTGGGGTCATGGGGAGGTCCCGACTGGTCGATGAGTTTGAACTCTGCAGCAAAGCCATTGGAGCGGGCGTATTCCAGCAGGCCGCTGACAGGATTGGCATTAAGGTATTTGATGAGCTCCCCAACGCCCTTCGCTTTCGCCACCTTGGATTCATCCGGAGTGGCGATCCAAGGTCCACAGCTGTGCGTGGACTGGTCACTGTGGGGCTTCCCGACAGGCTAGAGCAGAGTTAGACAGGAGAAGGCTGTTAAATACTGGGCAGCTGGTACTACCGCAGGCCAAGAGCACTCAGCAAACCTCTGCTAGAGCCAGCGCGTGACCTGTGGGGTGAAATCCATTGGACTGTGAAATAAAGGGCGGGGAGAACCCAACGCAAAACGCTTGGGTCTTATAAAGAAGCTCTCTGTACCTGTTCAGGCAAGACATGGGGTACAGACTCTCCAGAAAGAATCTTCACAGCAACTTCTGCTGCCATTTGCTTTGCTCCCTTCTTGCTGTTTCCTACCACAGCAGGGAAAATTTGGTCACCCATTTTCACACAGTAGCTGAACCTGACAGGACATTATAGCATATGAAAAATGTTAAGCATAGGTGTCTCGATCTCTTTATTATCCCCTTCTCCCAGTTCAAGTTAAATCCTTCTGGGTTATCTCCAATTTAAATCTACTACGATGCCCTACATACTCCCAGTAGGGCACTACGGGGTAGGGACCAGGACTGGAACCTGTTCCTGGTCTGGCAGAAGAAACAGTGTCCTTTCTCTGAGAAAGGGCATTGGTTTTGGTCTCTTTCTGGAGGCAGACATCTTGGAGGAGCCATGCCCGAACTCCTTGGACAAAAGGAGCGTGCAGCAAGGTCAGTGCCGAGTCCAGGAATGAGGGTAGCGTGCTGAAGAGGAAGGATATTATTAAAGAAAGGGTTTCTGTCCTTCCCAAAGCTGACAACAATATCCCATACCTCGGATCGTGAGGTGGGCCTTCCTGAGAGAGCAGCTGGAATTCAATCGTGTTCCCTGATTTTTGTCCGTACTCCATTAACACACTGATAGGGTGCTTCCCAGGAAGCAGGTTGAGCTGAGCTGGCGCCGACGACGGCTCTGGCTCTGGATGCAAAGGCTACAGCAAGAAGATGAAGGAAACCAGTTTCAGGCTAAACACTGTTTGATCAGCCTCACAAGTAATGAAAACAAGACTCACCAATTCCAACTCAGAGTTGTCAGAGGGAAACGGCTCTTCACATTTAATTCCACCCTGTCTTCCGTTCTCCGCTTCGCTCATCAGGACCTTCATAGCGTTAGCTGCTGCCTCCTGTTTAGCGAGTTTTTTGCTCCCTGCTTCTGCCGGTGGGAATCGGCGCCCATTAATCACTGCCTGGAACTTAAATCTTTGAAAGAGAAAACCAAAGAGGTAAATCGAGACGCAAAAGCATGGTCTTCTCAGAGCAAGCAGGTAAGGCTGCTCCTGGAATTCAAGTGAGAAGGAGAGAACGAACAGCTAGCTCCTGGCCGGGAGAACAAACCCAGGCTGCCACACGCAGAAGACAAAAATACCAAGGGTGCCCCGACAGCTCTGCATCAGAGCCTCGCTTCATGGCGTTTCCAGAGCTATTCACGACAGAGGAGCAGCTCCAGATCTTGTTCTGAAGGAACAGGATGAATTGCCTTGTTCCACGCACGCCAGGGACGTGTAATGGGTGTATGTGAAGAGTTACGTCTCCTGCACAGGGAGGAAGAAAGCTTACAAGCAGCCTGTGCTGTTCCACCTGCACCTGGTCATTCGGGGTCACTTGTCCCTGGGGCATTTTCCCTGGCTATCCAGGGCACTCACACCATCTCAGAGAGGTGCTGCCTCAAGTAAACCTCCGGCCTTTGCTGTTTCTGTCTCTCTCCTCCCTGTAAACTCAAACAAGCACGGCTTCTCTTCCGACCTTCAGCCCTATACAGAGGAAACCTGCTTCCAATAAGAACAGGTCAAACCAGAGGGGTTATGGGGCTGAATCCATTCAGTTCCCTCCTTACAAAAACAAACCAAAAAAACCCCAACCAACAAACAAACAAAAGCTTGGAACTCCACCTTTAGAAATTAGGCCAATTTTCTTGTCTTTTCACACTTCCAGGGTGAGAGCATCTTGAGAGGTACCTTAGAAATACCAGTTTCCCCATATACGATCAAATTGAAACCCAAGTGATTAAATCAGACAGGACCTAGCTGAAGAGATGAATCCCACCTTTGCTGCTCAGAATGAGATGCAGGATTGTCAAAACTGGGCTACCTGGGGTTAAATTTTAGCCTTGTTTTGTTTGGGGTGGTTTTGGGGTTTTGTTTTTTTTTTTAGCTGCTGCAAGGAATCAACTAGGCTAATCTTTGTGAAATGAAGTAAACATTAATGAGCAGGCCCTTCAGGACAAAGCCAAGTGGGTCAAGTTAGCTGAAGTCAGATCATTTTAAGCAAAAAGACAGCTCAGGAAAGGTAGGAAATTTTCTTACCGTGGCTCGTGAGAGGGTCCGCTCTGCTCCAGCATGGCAAACTCACAGTGCTGGTACGTGTACTGGGAATATTCGGTAAGGCCACTCACTGGGTTCTTCTCCTGACAAGCCATCAGTTTCTCTACGGGCGTACATGGGAAAGCAGTTTCAAACTGGGCGGTGTAACTGGGAGAAGACTGGGAATTCATGATGGATTCTGACTCATCAGGCTGCTTGTTGATAGTGTTCAGATTATCTGGGATATCATCGGTGGCCCACTTGCCGTTTTCGGAGTTATCATAATTACTCAAACTGGAAAATTCGAGCTTCGTGTCCTCAGGTGGGGCTGCTTCCACGTCGCTGGCATCGCTCCGATCGGTTTGCCCCAAAGGCTGCTGCTCGCTTCCTATACTTTCTTCTTCCGATGTTGTCGCTGCTGGTGAAGCTACGGTCATCTCCTGGGGACACGGAGGAACGGAGGAAAGCAGAAGACCGGTGGGATCCACTGTCTGCGTTACCGTGCTGGCCTTCAGCCTCATCTGCATCCGCTCACGTTTCCTGTCTGTCAGGGACCACCGTGGGGGGCTCGTGTTCTGCTTGTGGACATCTCCCAGCTTTTCCAGAGCGCTAAGAAAAGCATTAACATCCTTGGCCCTCGAAAACCCAATGTTTTTGGCAAGGTTGAGTGCCGTTGTTTCTGCCACGCTGAACAAATAGTTGCAGATTTTGTCCTTTGTTTCAGCCATCATGGGATCGGTGCCTCCTGAGCCAACCGCGCTCCCCTCCTCTCCTCTGCTCTCAGAAGCTGGATCTGCGTGACCACCGCTGCGGTCAGCGGGGCTTCTTTCTCTCCCTGCGCGTGGGCTGGCAATCCTCCACAGCGGCGGCGTCTCTCCACCTTTGCGCAACTTGCCTTCTCTGAAGAGTTTGTACAAAACCCGGTTGACCTCTTTCTTTTGACTTTTAAGTTTACGTGCAAGATCATGAACTGTACAAGTCTTCCCCTCCCCAAGCTGCCTGAAAATAGTCAGAATTTCTTGTTCGCAGTCTTGCCTGGCAAGAGACAGTCTCTGGAAATTCAGCCTGATTGTGTCAGAATCTCTCTCCGAGTCCTTCTGACAATGGTACTGAGAAGAGCAATAACGTGGCAAAGTTTCTACCCACGGACGCTTGCTGGAGAACCTATGCCATCCTGCTCTGCTGCAGCTGGGTTGCCATCCCTCTGCAGGAGCCGGTGCCGCAGCTCGCACGCCTCTGACGCGTGAGTTTTGGTATGATCCCTGTCCCTGAAGCAAAGAGATGTCGGTGTCCTGCTCTGTTAGGAACTGGTGGTGTAAAAAGTTTAACTGATTAGTTTCTCGTGGGGGATGAGGACGGTTAAAAACAACTTGATGAGTGCTGGGGCACTTATGTCTTGACTGAGTAAGAAACGAGCCTCTGCCTCGACCAGCGCCTCTGTTCATAGCGCACTGCTAGGACACACGCGTGAATCGGGCCGCTTGCGCACCAGAAGAAGGGGAGCTGCGATTCACTCTGCTGTCCTGAGCAGGTGCCTGCTAGGAAGAAAAAAAAAAACAAACAAACCACAATTCAGAACCTATTTACACAACTACAGGATTCCAGAAATGCAGTTTAAACAGCTTCCCTGCTACTGAGGCATTTCACACGTCCTCATCAAGCTTTCCTGTTTTCTACCGAGTCTAAATTATTCATGTAAACACAAATAGCAAACTTTGTGTCTGCCCAGAGCAGAACCCAGCAGTCAGGAATCGTGGACAAAGTTAACCACGAGAAACAGCTTTAATCAGAGCGACCCTCTGCTGAACTGAATTTCAAGCTAGCTGCACAGGGGCGGTTTGTCTTTTCACGATGCCGCCTGTCAAAGGCTCACCCCGCGCTTCCAAAACACAAGCAAGTTTCATTCCTCCGACCCGAGGAAGAATCTCAGACCCACTTTGCAATCGAAAAAACGGGGGGCACACAGAGGCGCAGCAGCTTGTATGGTCACACAGGACAGAGTTGCAACGGGCTTGCAACGGTTTTCAGACTCGTGGCCAAAAAAAAAGTCTGAAACCCCAAATGTCCTTTGCTTCCTGGACGTTACACGACCCGTAGAGGTAAAGCATCACACCAGAGTGGAAGTACAATGATAACACGTAAAGAAATTCGATAGGTGTGCAGCTGGCAACAGTATGAAAAGTGTTTGGGGACTGTAGCCCAAAATTCACCCATATCACAGACAGTTGTGCCACCTCCCTTGGGCGGAGGACGTAAGTCTAAGCTTTTAATATGCTTTTTAAAAATAAGTAACTGTTGTGGTTTAACCTGGCCGGCAGCTAAAACAACCACGGCCGTTCACTCACTGTCCCCCGCAGTGGGATGGGGGAGAGAATCGAAAAAAAGTAAAACTCGTGGGTTGAGATAAAAACAGTTTAATAGGACAGAAAATGAAAACGAACAAAAAAATAATAATAGAATATACAAAATAAGTGACGCACGGCACAATTGCTCAACAACTGCTGACCAAAGCCCAGCCCGCTCCCGAGCTGTGGCCCTCCCCGGCCAACTCCCCCCAGTTATATATGGAGCGTGATGCCGTACGGTATGGAATATCCCTTGGCCAGTTTGGGTCAGCTGTCCTGGCCGCGTCCCCTCCCAGCTCCTTGTGCACCTCCTGCGGAAGGCTCATGCCTCCTCGCTGGCAGGGGCCGGGGAGCTGAAAAGTCCTTGATTTAATTGTAAAAACTGCTTAGCAACATCTAAACATCGGTGTGTTATCAACATTATTCTCATCCTAAATCCAAAACATAGTGCTAGACCAGCTACTAGGAGGAAAATTAACTCTATCGCAGCCAAGCCTGGGACAGTGACCCAGCACGGGATATATTCTAGTTCTTTGACAACAGCTTTTTTGTGAAACGGAGTGGATAAAAATACAACTGATACCTGCTGCCAGGTCCCTGTCCTACCAGTGACCTCTTCAAGTCACCTACCCTCATAAAGATAGTTTTTCCGATGCAAGCTTTATCTCCACAAAGCTCCCTATCTCCATCAAACACACCTCAAGGCCAACTTAAATTTCCCTTTCACTAAAAAAAGTTCATTAACAGCCTCCAACTGCACCCAGCTGCCACCGCCGCGACTTATTTTACCAACCCGGATAAACGTGGGCTCCATGTGCGGTGCTGGGGAGGCTTACTGCAGCGAGGGGGGTTCCCCCCTTCCCAGCTCCGGGGTGAGGGGTCTCACTGCCCCCCTACTCAGTGAACTCGTTTTAAAGGCGACCCCTGAGGCAGGACAAAATCCTGACAGGCAGGAAGAGAGGCTTTTAAAAAAAAATACTCTTACCTCAGGCTCATCCATACCTCAAATTCCCTTATTTTGTGAGAAAATAAATGGGGGGGGAAAAAAAAAAAAAGAAACTCTGAACCACAGAACATCTCCTGGGGAGAAGAGGCGGCACCCGGTGGGCTGCGGGCAACCGGTCAGCCCAGCAAGATGGCTGCGAGCTCCGTTTCGGTTTCAGTTCCCGTTCCCACAGCGGCCTCCCGCCCGGCCCAGGGAGGGGACGCGGCTTTTCCCGAGCGGGAGGCAGGATTTGGGGCTTCCCGAGCGCTCAGAACCCCGAGTTCCTTCCCAACGGCGGGCACAGCTGGGCCTGGACCGGGAGGGAAGCTCCTTCCCCCGGTACCTGCGGTGATTTACAGTCCCCGGCCAGCAACGAGCTGTCGCTGGGACGGGATCCTGGTCCGCACCGGAGAGGCGGCTGCTCTCCCGGTTTGGAGAGGGGTTGCGGGAAGAACTGTCACCTTAAACTACTCCTCAAAAA